AGTGCAACTTCTACCTTTTTTATTCTCACTCAGAAAAGAGTAAGACTGTACTCCAGTCTCCAAAACTCCAATGCCTTTGTAAGTATGATAAGTATCTAACTTGCAATGTCAAGCATACTGAAAATAGTTACTACACCCTAACAATAGGCCTGAAATATTCCAAAACCCAGCAATCTGACCTTTATTCTGATCTAAGCATGAATTTTGCATCCGCTGGATTAAGTTTCAAGAAATACTGAATTACTAAATATCCCATCGTCCTTCAACTAGTCAATTATATGTAAGATTAAGCACTCAGTATCAATCAATAAATGTCATCTAGAGATTTACCATTTCTAGTATTTGGATTTAGTCACATCTGAAACCAGCAGTTCCCATACCAAGAGTATTACAATTCCTTCTAATGGAATGAACATTCTCTGTATTATCAAGTTCAGAAATATTAAGTCAGTTAATATTTAATATACCCAAAACCAAAAAATGCACACTCACTGTTGAGCCACTGTCTTCCCTCCCTTTAACCTCACTGGCAACGCAGGGGCGTTGCTGCAACATTTTATCAACAACAGCTTCTGTGTACAGTTGAAGTGTAACAGAAATTCAGCACAACTGGATACTTATTTTTATTTTGATTATTTTATTTCCTTATCAATTTAAAAAAAGCTTGCTGTCCTTCAATGAAGCAACACCATGTATGAGTAAATACCACAGAATTCTGGGTAGACTTTGTACCAGGACGAAATACTCATTATGACACTGCATTGCATACCAGGTAACATGGCTGATCCTGTGACTATCATGATCGTTTCAATTTTTTTTGGAAAAAAAACAAAACACACACTAGAAGCTTATGCAAGCTTATTACATGGTCTTTCTTGACAGACAGCTGTGATTTGGGCATTGGGTGTCAATGGCAGAAAAGGGACACAATGTATACAGTCAGGAAAGTGTATGTGTTTCTTTTTTTAAAAAAATTAAGCATGAAAAGGGTGTTTTTTCACGATACTACAAACTACATGAAATCCTTTAACCCAGACAGCCCAGTAGCATCTTTAGGTTTATCAGCCAAAATGACCAATATTTAGTTTCCCTGGGTAACTCAAGGTCTTTTTCCAGTAGCTATATGAAATCTGCATCTACGTTGTAGGGGGGGGAGGGCTTTGGAGGCTATGCCAACATAAACCAGTCTCAAAGTCAATTCAAGTGAGTACAACATTGTTCAGATATAACTTCATTTTATTAAATGATTTTCCTCCCAATCTCTGAATACGTAATATAGTATAGCCACAATCCAGAGCACGGAGGGAACTAATTCAATTTGGCTTAAAATAACTGTAACATTAGAGTAGTGCATTTGGTATTAAATAGAGCGAATAATACAAGTACCTTAAGGCAGTCCTCTTAATAGGTGCATCGTTTGAACTTTGCTGAAGACAAAAAGTTGTTTGAAAATGTAAAAATGTGTGGAAGTTGAGTTATCAACTAGCCAAACACAGCCAATCAGCAACTGTTCAAAAACCTTTAATTCAAACCCACTTCAGGTGGAACTGCACAGCAAGTGACAAGTATTCTGTTTTTTTCCCAGTTTTAACTTGTCAGATCTTGTGCAAGCTGATAAAAAGTCTGAAAGTGTTTTAAATTAGTAACTGTGTGTGAGCACGTGTGTGTTTTATTACTACGGAGAATTTTATTCCCTTTTCAGTTATGTTTTCTCCAGAGTGACTTCGAAAGGCTTGAATAAAAAAAAAGTTTACAGGCTAGTAGGTTCTGCTAATATGAAAACTATCCCACAAGAAATTCCACTAACAACCCTTGAATTCAGTGTCTGTATTGAAATTTAGCCTAGACTGTTATTTTAAAGTGGAAGGCATCGACACTATTGTTTAACATCCTGTTTATTCAAATGCTGTTGCTCCTATTTCAACCAATTGTTGCTGTAGTAAATAACCTCACAAGGATGCTCTAAGTGATCAGTGCCTTTTCCTCCTACTAGCCAGGTCACCTGTTGAGATTTCAAGACAGTATCATTCTCTTTCTGCATTCACTCAAGAACTTTCATACACATTTTCCTAGGCATATTCCTTCTAGTGCTACTTGGTATAAACTAGATGCTAGACACTTCATGAACCTTCAAAAAAATCAAAGTCAGAGTACTGCACCTCTCCTCTGATTCTGTTACAGTATTTGCCAAGGATGTTTTTTTTAATATGAAAAATACCATGCAAATTAGAGAAAGCAAAAGGAAAAAAAAAATCTCTATAAAAAGAGAAGGTTCTTTGGTGACATTAACAATAACATTTTTTTTTTCTCTGCAAGACTCCCGTTGGTTTGGTAGATATTTAAAAAAAAAAAATCTACTTGAATGAATACTAGACATCAGAAGAATCTATTTTAAGACAGTATTTTGGAGATTATTAATTTCAATTCTCATTGTAATTCCTGTATAACTTTGCACCGCATGCCTCTGCAGTCACATTAGACAGGTTTGCAACATCAGCTTTGATTGTAAGTCAGTGTAATAGGATTGTCACACTACACTGCTCCTCCATGCACTCTACTTAAACTCCCCTCCAATAAGAAAATTGCTGCATTTTCTCTGCGTCTAAGTGACCCACTAAAAGCTTCTCCAGATCTATTTCGCGTTGTCTAATCAGTCCATTTGTTCTGCCCTCAAATCATCTGCCTTGCACAAGTCAGGTAGTGAAGAATTGTACTCAGAAGAATCACATTAAGTTAACGAAACTCTGGAGCACTTTACTCTCAACGGTGAAGAATCTTCTCCTTAGAAATTTGTTTTATAATTTGAATGAACAACTATCTGGCAACTTGTATAAAAAAAAAAACAAAACACACTGCACAAACTTCTCAGTAAAAGGTACAATTCTGTGGTGGAATTCCAGAGATGCTTATCAGCCTCTTGAGAGTGTTTGTCCCCTGTGTTAATTCATTAATCTATGCAACATGAAATGGCTCCTTACTCTAAAATCTGGAGTACATTCATTCCCCATATGTGTCTGAAAGCTAAATTCCATGACACAATCTTCATAATTCAATTATGTGCTAGAAGGGGAGACAGGAATCAGAATATCACCAAGAATGAGATTTTGCTTAAAGGGCCAGAGTTGTACAACACTGATGGAAACCTATTTTGATACACCATGCTTCATTACCACCGTGATTTGTCAATTTATAGCCCACACTACCCCAACAGAAGACTTTCTAATTGACCAAAGCTTACATATAAACCATAAAAAGACAGAAAACTTCCTAGATTTTAGATAAATTACACTGGTCAAGATGATGCTCACCACTGCAACGTGATGTGTAACACACACTCTGTCAAAAAAAAAAAACGCCAGACCCTGAAGCAGCTGGGAGCCCGAACACACGACTTTGATACCTGAACTGTTAACTTTTCCTTCGCTGTTGTGAACCACCTCGGCTCTAGGAGCCCCGCGCACTGCAGACGGCGGCACTGCTCCCGGTGCGTTAGGGCACACCAGCCAAGTCCCACGGCGGACCAGGAACTTGCCAACCCTTTGTAACGCCACCGCGCATCGCAGAGCCGCGCTGCTCCACGGCAAGAAGGAAGGAAGCGAAGGGGAGGGCGAGGATCGCACGTTACCCCTGCCCCAGGGCAGCAGCAGGCAGCCGTCCCCCAGCTGGGACCGTAAGCCCGGATGGGCAGCGTGTGTGGCGGGCGACCCGCACCGGGACGGCGAGCGGCAGAGCGCGGGTCCGCCCCGGCACGCCGGGGTCGGGCGGCGGGAGGGGACCGACGCCTGGCAGAGCCCCCCAGGGTGACCCCGGCCACCCCCGAGCGATGGCATCCTCCGGCCCCAGCCGCGGCGGCGCCGCGCGGGGAATTACCTGGCTCCCCGCGGCCCCGCGCTGCCGGCGGCCCGGCCCCGCGCAGCTCTCCCCGCGCCCTAGGCCCCGCCGCGGCGGCACCGGGCTGCCCAGCTCCTCCGCGCCTGGCAATGGCGGCGGCCCCGCTCCCCCCTCCCAGCTCCGCGCTCACTGGCTGCGGCGCTTCATGTGACCGAACAAAACCCTCCTCGGCACAGCCCTTTGTGTCCGGCCCGGCCGGGGCACCGGGGAGACCGCTCGCCGGCTCGGGGAGGGGGCGAGCGGCGACCGCGGGGTAGGAGGGAAGCGACGAGGAGGGCCGGGAAAAGGAAGGCAGCGCCTCGCCCGCCCGCGCGCCCTGTCTCCGCCGCGCCGCCGCCGCCCGGCCACTTACCGCGGCGCGGGCGGCTGCGGCCGAGTCGCGGTGCCGCACCAGGTCGGAGGCGACCGCCATGTTCCCCGATGCGGCAGGATGGAGGCAGAGCCGCCCGCCCCGCCAACCGCCGCTAGGGCGGCCGGCTCCCCGCTCCCGCGCCGCCCCCGCCCCACGCGGCGCCGCGCGGAGCGGCGCGCGCCCCTTCCCCTCCCCTCCCGGCTGCCGGGGGGGGGGGGGGGGGAAGGAGGGGGGGGCGGGCATTTAAAAAAAAAAAAAAAAAAAAAAAGCATAACGGGAAACTCACGGGCTCGCCGGGGTGTGCGTCACGCCGGGGTTACGTCCTGCGCGCGGCGTCATGACGTCATCGCGCAAGCTCCCCGACCCCCCGCCACTTGGCTACACACATACACACACACACACGCGCGCGCGCGCAGGGAGCGGAGCCCCAGACGCACACGCGTCGTGCGAGGTGGAGCGCAGCGCGCATGCGTGCGGCCTTCCCGCGCCGGCGCTCCCGCAGCCCCCTCCCGCAGCGAGGCGCGCGGCCCCGGGGGGCGCGCGCGCCCGCCCCTGTGCTTCTGCCGGCCGGCGGCAGGTGCGCGGTCGTTCCCGCCGCTCGCGGCCGCCCCGGCCCCCAGCGGGTCGCTGCCGCCGGGGCTGTGAGGGCAGGGAGCAAACGCCTCCCACCGGCGGGGGGACAATCTCCTAAAAGCCCTCTCTTCAGAAGGCGGGCTGCCGGCGCGGCCTCTGCCCGCCCGGTGCGGCCTCCCCTCACCTGCGCCAAGCCGCGCAGCGCGCGCGGGAAGTCGGTGTGTCGGTTGCCTGGCGGTGCCTTTCCCACAGAAAGTGGAAAACTAGGTCAAGTACTGCAGGAGCTGTACAAAGGCGCTCGCCGTGCCAGGGAGAAGGGCTGGCTCCTGCGACAAGCCGCGGCTGGCGAACGACGTGAGGGGGGAACAGGAAACCTGGGAGCAGAGGAGCGACGCGAGGGAAGAGGAGACGACTTGGGGACTGTCAGTCCATTCCGGGGGGCGGGAAGCTGTGAGGCAACGCCGAGAAAGTAGGAGCATTCAGTGCCATGTTTTCTTCAGAGTAATGCTTCTGGTGGCAAACCCCAATTCAAAAAGGGCAGGGATACAGGGGAGAATAATAAATGCGTGAAGGAGAGACTGCTTTGATAAATCAGACTTTTTTCCTTCAGATTTGCTAGGCCCAGGGGATTTCACACTAGAGCGGGAAGTTGATTAAGGCAATGTTAGAGGTGTGAGCAGGCATCACTGAACGCTCACGAAGACCACTGAGATTTCAGGAGGGGGAAAAAGGCAAAACACGGCACATCCAATTCAAAAGAGGTGAATAGGTAGAGCCAAGAACTGTCAATCATTCCAGCCTCTATTCCCAGAAAAGTATTGAAGCAAATAATCACACATCTTTAAGTACATGGTGGCTAATGAAGTGATAAGTTACAGCCAACATGGATTTGTCAAGAAAATCACATCAAGCCAAACTCATCCCATGCTGTGACAGTCTTAACAGGCCTTGGATGGCAGTAGTGGTAGATCTGTTACAGCTTGACTTGAGTATGGCTTTTGACACCATCTCAGAGAAGTCTTAATTGAGCAAGCAAGAGGCCTAATGAAATGACTCTGCCCTGGCGCAAAACTACATCAGCAGTGCTTCATTGTGACAAATAGCGACATACAGCAACTACAGACCCTTGGAGGTATGTCCTGAGTTTGGTACCAAGTCTAGTTATGTGAATGACAGAGTACAGATTACATTGGTTGGATTTGCCAACAATGACAAACTGGCAGAGCTGGAAGCATGTTGCAGGACAAGAAAAGAATTCAAAATGTTCTTGACAAACTGATTGCAGAAATAGGATGCAACTGAGTAAATACAAGTGCCAACTTTCAGCATTTAAGCAGGAAAATAACAATTGCACAATTGCAAGACTGGGATCAGACAAATACACACCAGGCCTTCAGAAAAGGGGTTGGGGATCAGAGTAGATCACAAACTGAACATGCACCAACAGTGTCACACCGTTGTGAAAAAAGCTGCAGTACAGAGAGATGTGTAAACAGAACTGTCCTATCTAAGACATAGGGAGAAATTCTCATATGCAATACTGGTAAAGCCTCAGCTGTAATACTGTGTTCAGATTTGGGCTCTGCATTTCAAGAAAAACTGTCAAAAAAATCCAACAGAAGGGAGTACAAGGAAGGGAAAAAAATACCGATATTTTTAAAGGACATGACCCTAACAAAATAGGAATGTTTGAGATTTTTTAGTCTAGAAAATAAAAGACTGTGGGGAGAAAAATACATTGTTCACTAAATCCATTGCAGGCAGGGCAAAAATTAACAGTCTCAAACAGCACTGGAAGAAGTTTAGGTTAGACATTAGGAAAAGTTTTACTATGATATGGATAAATAAAACTGGCATATATTCTCTAGAGGATTCTGGAAACATTAAATATTTTTTAAGACCAAGATAAATATCTGTAAGAAAAGATTAGAAGTGTTTGACTCTGCTGTGAAGTATTGGAGGGCAGACTAAGCAATCGTTTTCAGCATCTTTTCAGATATCTGTTCTGATCCTATTTTTTTTTTTAGAAGTGAATCCCAGAGACATTCAAACATTTAATGTGTTGGTGTGATCTTATGCACAGGTGTAGGTATCCCCTTTGGGAGTTTTTGTCATGTTGCATTCTGTATAGCTGTGTGGTAACATATGTCACATGTTCAGCTAATTTGTCCATTTATAAACTTTATATATCACTGTAAAGTCCACATTTAAAAATAGTCTGTTTGTTAGTGCTTGTGTAAGTAGTGTGACTCAAGGCTTTTGCTTTTCTTTGTTTTTTTTTCATGGCACTAGAGATTAATTTTTCCCAGAATCCATTAAATTTTTGGCTTTCTCTGGAGCTTGCCAGTTAGAAGAAAGCAGTGTGAATGCTTTACGTTATGGGACTGAGAACCACCAAACTCATCTCGTTAGAGATGACTAAAAGGCCACTAAATAGGCCAATTTTTAATCTCCACCGAGTTAGACTGAATTCAAACTGATGGCCCACAGCCAAAAGGCTATGAATTTCATTAACAGTACCCTAAAGCACTCAGTCCCCTAACAAGTGCTAATGTTATTCTTCTGAGAATTAAGCTTGTTTTCTGAAAAGATACATTTACAAAATCAAGTTCTGAGATTTTGGAGCATGTATGGACAGTTTTCCACTGCTCTTAAACACAAGGAACATTATCACCTTGTTCACAGATTTCTTCTATGATTCTTGGTCATACGGGCTCCATGCTAACCAGAATACAAACAATAAAAACGTGAAAAAAGCAAGTATTAATACTACCCCTATGCTTCTTGCTGAACATCATATATTTTATTGTACCCAATTATCTTAAGGTCATCACACTTACATGTATTTTGTCACCTAGCAGATAATTTTTAAGCATCAGCAATTCTTGCTTCAGTTCTGTTGAAGAATACCAAATTCTATAAAAGCACTAACTTACAGAAGAGGATGCAGTGTTTTGTTACATTTTAGATCTATTTGTGAACAAGTAAAATGGTTAGCTTAAGGAAATCTGAACTTTAGTTCTAATGCTGCCAAATACAACAATTTTATTAAGAATTTAAAGATGCCTAGCACTTTGCCTAGTCCCTCAACTTACTACTTGAGCTGAAAGGCCCAAGCAGTAGTGGACTCTCTAAAATGATCCACACAATCTGTGGATCCAAACAAAAAATCCACATTTGGCTTGAATTCATGGAACATTTCATCAAAATGGCGGTGTTGCAAAAGGTTACGTCCAGTGCTATCAGAACTCTTGAGTTCTAATTCCACTGTCTTTTCCACTTATGCTTATGTGAAAAGTAGTAGATGATCTTAAAGGTTGCATGTTAGACTTGAGAAATACACACAGAATGATGCAAAATTGGGATTGAATGTGTGCATGAAATAGAAATTTTAGGACCAGCCTCCAATGAAGCACTGTAAGATGAGTGAAAGAACATGTGTGGCCAGTAGAGGACCATATGATACGATTCATGAAAATTAAGGCAGATATTGCACAGCTGGCTTTTTGTTTCCAGGAATTTTAGCTGTGTCCTGTGTCATTTCTCCACCAATGTGGAGGAGGCCTAATTAATGGTTAAAAGAGCATTTGAAAACCTCTTGAGAGAAGGTTGCTACCTAGTTCCTCCTGGTCTTCAGCTGGTTATAAAAAGCTTAAATGAAAGCAGGCTGTCATGTTAGCAGAAAAATATGATTAACTGAAACCAATTTAGAAATTGTTTTTTCATACAAACATTTTTGTAGCTGAAGTTGCAGAGAGAGAGTTGGAGCAGATCTAAACTGAAGCATTTTGAATGAAAGAAGATTGCAAATGCCTCCCTGTAACACACAAAGCAAAATCCCAAATGCCTGGAGGAAAAAACTTTTTAATGATAATTTCTTACATTTATATAGCACCTTTTATTCCCTTGGACCCCAAGAACTTCATTAACTCTACGCAAAAGGCTTCACCATGGAAATACAGCCACTATATGCATCATTCTTTGAAAATTTCATTTTCAGTTGACACATTCCTTTCAATAACAAAATACTCTGCTTATCCTGTATATAGCAACCAAAACAACAACAGATAAAAGATTAAGTGATACAGTTTTTGAATTGTAGAACAATTTAAGCCTGTATGATTTTCAAAATAGTAATGCACTCGTGTAATGGATACATTGCATTTATCCCATCTATTTCCCCTCTCCATTTGCTACTTTATACTACTTTATACCGTAGCCTTTGATAGAAAATTTTGTCTTCCATAACATTCTCAAAATCTAAATGATCTTTTATGTCTGAATTTCAGACAAAAATGGGGTTTATAGGAAAAAGTAGCATCTTTTATTAAATCCACTATTATAAATTGAAAAAGTAGAGAAGTTTTTGAGTATCCAAGACATTCTTTTTTTCAGCTAAGATGGTTGTTTTGATAAAATATCTTACCTTTACCTCTAAAATTTGTCTTGTTGTTGCCTTTAGACCCTCATAACTACAAAAATAAGGCCCCAAAAACATGATGTGAAAGGTATCTGTGTGTTATTACTCAACTTGCCACAGAGTTTTTCTTTTCATCCTACAGAGATGTTTCCAGTTTCTTGGCCTTTCTTACAAAGATACTAATTTCTCTAGTATCAACACATTTAGGAACTCAGTGTACTGGTTGTTTGAACAAGCACTAATTAACATTATTTTCAATGAAATTTTAGAACTAATAATAGCATAAATTGGAGCAGTTTGATTTATTTTAAAATTGTAAAAACTGAAAGAGAAAAAATTACTTTTTGCAAATTTTGTTGCTGTTTGAGCTGTTGATTAATGTTTTGTTGGCTTGCTTTTTTTCACCGGCTGTCTTGAAATATGGTTGTTAATGTTAATTAAAGATTATCTAGTCTTGTCTACTTTCCAGACAGAACAAATAATGTATTATATTTATAATATAAATTTAGTCTCTGCTATAAATCAAGATATTCTAGTTATCTTTGTCAGTATTAATTAAACTTTTAGAATTGCCAGTAAAACAGTAAGAGCACAGTAAGAATCTGTGGGTAAAATTAAAACCATTAGCTGTTAAAACCTATAGCTCTCTTAACAGTGATCCCAAGGTAAGGTTAGTCCTGAAATAAAATACGTTGCAGTGGAGGAATATTTAGAAGCTTTACCTAGGGAAATACTGCTGCTTGCCACTGTGAATTGCCTTTAGAACTGTCATACTGTTACAAGTGTTTTAAATCTCCCAGCGAGGAAAGGATTTCCCACATTACATAATACAGACAACTGGCGCTCTGTTTCCCCATCGCTAGGCTTCTGTCCATAGGCACCAGTACGAAAACACCGTGACTGTTGCTGAGGCCTGCTCCCCTTGGCCAGGCCTGCGCCAGCCGATACAGAACAGCTTTTGTCAGGAGGGCAGCAGCTCTGCAGCCAGCCTCCCACAGTTGTCTCCTGCTTTCAGTTGCACCACTGAGGAGTGTTATTGTCATCTGCCACTGCCCAGAGAGCAGCAGCTGCTGGGGCAGCACTGCCTGCCCTGCCCACGAGGCTCCATTCTTAGCTGCTCCTCAGGTACCGCCGTAATAAACATCATCAAGTAACAAATCCTGGATTAATTATCAATAGTAATTAATTAAGCTTGGTCTTCATGCTTATTTTCTTTTATCTTGCATTATTCTAATTCATCCCACATTAAAAAGATGACAGTTAAGCCTGCATCTTTGTTCCCTTCAGGAGGATCTGACATCTCTCTTCTCATGTCTGAGTTACTGAGCTCAAGACTGGCAGAATTCAAAGATCACAAGAAAGCAGATTAGTGTAGGAAAATACCACCGTATATTATAGCACTGACCTTCTTAGAAACAACAATGTATTGCCTTGGAGGGTTGCCATTTGTATCACACACAGGAAGTATTAATATATGAAAATATGCTATGAGCGACAAAACCATAACAAATTTCTTCCTGAGTCTGCTGATGAATTATAATTTAGTGGGAGAGGAAGAAAGCTGTGGTAATAAACTGGCCTTCAGTAGATGATGGAAAGGACCTAGATATAATAGGTATAAATTATCATAGCTCTGCTTAACCCAGTCTGATGATTCAGTTTACATTATAGTGCCAAAATGACACACTGAGTGAAAACAGAGTCAGTCATTTCAAGCTCCCTGTTTTGGGTGTCACACTGGTAACCTTAACGTATCCCTGTAGAGGACAGGGCATAAAGGAGTCCAGCCCCTACCACTATCGACCACAGGCCTGACCTTCGCCATGCCCATCCTATGCTGGCAAAGTGTTGCTGATGAGAAGGCGATTGCACTAGACCTGTAGAGCACCATGTTCTGGTCTCCTTCTAGTTGTGTCACACCCTATTTCTCGCTACACCCACCTCTGTGACTCGCATTAAGGGTCACGCCCATGTCTACAGCATATATTAGAGATCTGAGCAATGTTAATGCGAGGAATTAGTGACAGTAATCCTTTCAGGCACACTGCATCTCCAAATTTGTGACTTCTGCATGTCCCAGTGAAGGACACAAGTAACACAACATGGGGAAAGTCACCTTCCTCAGCCAAAGGCTGTTTCAACATCCTCACAAAAAGGAAAGAGTTTTGGTAGCCACCCACCCACCACTTCTGTACTTCAAAGTCATCTGGCCAGATGGAAGTCAGGACAGAGGTCCAAGTGGAGACATCTTCACCAGAAACCTTTGCCTTTAGAAACAAGTGCCATAGGTTTTAGCTGCACTTGAAAAACGAATAGCATCTCTCGGTTGCCAACGTCATTGCCAGTGTATAACTACATACCAGGCAGGATTTCAGACCGCCGTCTTTTCCCCACAGCTTCCTACTGTTCTGCCCGGTAGGCAGTTGCTACGTCAGCAGCTGTGATTTCTTTCATTAAGTCGGATGGACATACACCCTCTTGTCCTTATGCTTGGCACAAACAATTATGTAAACCTTTATTATTGTTTATTTGTAAATCACTAGAGGTTTGTGCACATAATATATTTAAAGAAGTAAAGAAAGAAATATCCCACTTTATTACTATTAATGTGGAAGCACTAAGGAACTTATTTTGTGTTTACGTAAGATCACAGCAGCCAGAAGTCTGTTTGATATGCCATACCTTCTGTTTGTTTCTTAATTGTAAGGAGTTTGATTTTGATCAAGACAATTAATTATAAATATCACTTGAGTTTTCTAACATCAGAGATAAAGCTTAAAAAAAACTACAAAAGCTTTTTTAGAGCATATTGTACTGTATAGATAAGTATGTATCTTCAGGGCATGAAAACAGACATCTTTGTAATTGAATCCTGAAAAGGAGGAGAAAAAAAATTCATAAAACTGACAGTTTTACGCAGTCAGAGTTAATATGCAATTTTGAAAAATTATTTATCAGAATCTGTGCTTGTACAGAATCAGTATATGTCATGGTAGTTTGACAAAAATGAAAAGAGCAAGTTACAACCTAGAGTTATTACAATGAGAGTTTTGTTACCCAATAACCTTTTTCTTTCCAACCTCCCTGCTGGTCCCTCTCTATGCCAGCAGAGGAGAAGCATCTCCTAGCTCCTCAGCTTGGCCAATCCATTATCACTCATCTGCCAAAAAGTATCTTCAGTGCAATGATCAAAGCTATATTAAAACTTTTGCTTCTCTCTTGTTCATCCAGTATTTCCAGATCACATCCCGCCTAAACTCTCAGATGAATTATTTTGAACAGCAGTTCATCTGCCATTATCCCTTTCAGGAAACACTGTCTTAGGTTTGCGATTTGCAGGCAGATCTTGTATTATAATACTACTGCTTTTATTGTGAAGCTCATAGGAACATAAAATGTCTCATTATAAGCTCAGTGAAATAGCTGCAAAGACTTTAATGAGCTTTCAACTGTGCTCAAAGAAAGAAAATTCTAGCACTAATTTTCCTAGTAATAGAAATCTACATATTTAAAATAACTGTAAAATAGTTATTTCAGTATCCTGGAGTACATGTTGAGTAGAGGTTTCTCAGACAGAAGCATGAAGATACTTAGAAGAACAGTCATGTTCACTTTTAAAATTTGTCCTAGTTTCACAGCCCTTGGCTCTGGTTTCCAACAATGTGTTCACAGGTCAGTGTGTAGAAATGGACTCGGGTAAGGCTTTGGAAGTGTATTTTTAGTTAGACCATGCAGATAATTCATAGAGTAAAAATGGGGTATCTGTAAAAGCAAAAATAGTCAGTTTCACTTGGGGAATTTCAGCAAAAGCAGCTATGCCTGAACACTTAGGAAGCACTGAAATCTGTCTACTAGTCTATCAGATGTGTCTCTCTAATTCCATCCCAAGCATGTTAAAATTCCTTTTTAAGAAGTTTTGTGTGAATTTTCATTCAAATATACCTCTGCCTTTGAGTTACAATGTTTATATTCTGCTTTAAAACAGCAGAACAGTTTTTACTTACTCTGTGCAAAAGAGAATCCTGATTCTGAATCTTAACAGGAGCCAGATAATGGTGGTTTAATATTTCATGTAGATGTCTTCATCAGCAAGTCATTTGACCCAATCAATGTAAGACTGAGAGTACTTTTAAAAGTATCCCGTTTACAAATAAGCAATAACCACGGTTTCGTCACATTTTATGCTTTCTAAACAAGGAGGGTGTCATCACATTTGTGATAGTATGTTAGGAGGCACAGCTTTTCACAGTGACCATTAAAATGGCACATGCTGGGGAAAACAGTGCTTATTAGGATTAATTTAAGACAAGGGATACTCACTAAGTATGAATTGTATATGATCACTTCCATCATTAATGCGTTATAGTTTATCTCATCCTTTAAAAAGAAATAATTACATATTGAGAATTATTTTTCCTGACAGCTGGCAGAATTTAAATCCCAGGCCCAAGGAAGGAAAGCAGTGGCTTGAGGCATCCAGCCCTCCTGTGCTGCAGCAGGACAGCACAGTGGGCAGTTCAGGCCAGCAAGGGCTATGAGCAGCAGTGGCAGCCCATACTTTCTGGAGTTTCAAATAGTAGGCTGTGGAAAATTAATGATAACCGATTGTTAACACTCATGTTGATCAAATAGCTCTCCTGCACGCTGAGAGCAAAGGCTGAAAACGCCATCTGAGCAGACATACTGCTTTTGCTGTGTAGGACCCACCAACAGATCATAGTGCTTCGTAGTAGTTCAGGGGGCTGATACCAGATGTTAGCAAGAGGGCAGGGCTGGAAATGACTGTTAAACATTAAGGACACAGAGCCACCATTTCTAACCCCAGGCATATGCTAATCTTGGCCCTTCTATATTCCTCCTGCTGAAAAGGGTCACTGTAAAGTACAGCTTGGGGGGAACAGCTAGTGGAAGAGCCCTTGAATGCAGAGATGCTGGGAATCAAGGCAGCTGCACAGAGGCTGCCCCTACGTGCTGTGTTAGGTCTCCAGGTCTCTTAGGCACATCTGCATGGCACAGCAAATAAGGCACATCTATCCCACAACATCAGCAGAATACCATGTGAGGCCCTTCTAGTACTCAGGTGACATCAGCACATTTGTACCACATACAACCCGGATCCTGCACACCCCTACCTTTACGTAGAAAGCCTCACAGATCACTACCCTTCTGATCTTGCTGCAGCTGCATATTGATCCCTTCCCCGAGATAGCCAGCACCTCTGTGGTCTCTTAGTCCATTCTGAGATGACCCACTCAAGCTTTCACTTCAGAAACGGTCTCTGTAGTGCTCTCCTTTTGCTCTGCATACAATATGGAGA